CATATTGTGGTTCAAGACCTGATATCAAATGATATGAATCCGTAAGTTAAAATGGCTAAGAATTCGCATACAAGAGGCCAAACCTACGCCGGCACCAAAAAAATTTGTCTACTAAACACATACACTGTTCATGAAACTTTACGATGACGTTTAACTGGTAATAGAAATGAATTGTAAATACAAATGTCCTGAGTTTAAATATTTGGGAATCTCTTGAAATCAGACCCTGAGAGATTTATTTTTCATGAATATTTTAATTCCGACGTGAATGATCTGTTTTTAAACAGACCGAAGAAGAATTAGTCAAAATACACAAAAACTAAACCAAATACCCTTAATCATTAAAGTAAAAAAAAACCGAAGGACACTTTTCATGGGCCCACCCATCCCTGGACTACTGGGAAAGTAATATTTGAGGGCATGTTTGGGTAGGTGGAAAGCAGAAAGAGTCATGGAAATGGGCAGTTTGGCGTAAAGTGATGGAGAACGTGTTTTTTATCGTATGGTAAGGAATTGTAAACTGATGTGAACACATGCTCGACTATCATGCCACTAAACAACAAATCTTCTTTACAATAAAAAAGGTTTGGTTTTCAAATATGGTGTTTGGTGACATTTTTTTTTATATCCATAATTTCTATATTCCTTAAAATAATATTACACTCAACTACTGCACATTAATTTGGAGACTAGTCTACGGTGCCAAATTTTTTTTTTGGTACCGTACCGTCGTTACAAGATTTATAGTTTATTTTTAAAATTTTTAAGGTCATATACAATTTTTACAAGGAATCTTCGAGGATGGTTCAGTGGTCAGGTCTGTCCTCTTGTAAACAAAAAATTTCTGGTTTGATACTTCTCCACACCCCATAAGGGTCGACCACCCTTATTCTTCAAGGGACATGTCTTTAAACTAAGTCGAGTTAGTTCAGAATTCGAAAGTATAATCGGCGTAAGCCTCAAGACCCTTTAACAAACAAAAAAAAAAAAGGTTCACTTACAATTTTTATGGTTTAAGTGACAATCTTTATAGGTCATTTGGGATCAATCCTAAAAATTGTAAAATTTTTTTTATTATAAACAAACCTAAAAACTTATATCTCAAACTACAAAACTTATAAAAATTTGCGGTATGCTACCAAAATTTTTTGTTTCATACTATTGTCGACTCTTTAATTTGGATGGTCAGGATTTCACTTTCTAATTGAGAGGTCTAAGATTTAATTCTCAAGAGAAACGACGTAGATCAAATAAAAAAATATTGATAATTACCAAATCTGTTTTCTTAAAGAAAATAGGCTAAATTCATGAATGAAAGTAAGAAAAATAATGTTGACTTACCCGAGAAAAAAAAAGGGATTAAATGCAAGTATTTCTTAATTATCAATTTCATCAATTATATCTGTACATTTTCTAATTTGAGTTTTAATTGTCCAACCGATGATAAATATTTAAATTGATTACGAAACATACTATATGTGCACCTTTGATCTTAAAAATTTGTACAAATTGTCACTTTGGTTCCTTAACTATAAGCTTTGTTGATTATTCCCAACATTGTTCGTTTTAGTCTTAGAGGTTCAGTTGATTGCTCGTTGTTAAGTGTAAAGTATTAACCCAATATATTGAAGAGGAATAGAGAGAGGTCAAACGCTTGACCTAGTTCTTATATATTATTGTATTTATAGTTAACTTACAATAATAATAAGAATTACAATAATAATAAGAATTACACATACTATCCTACCATTATTAACAATTTACACAGACTACCCTAATACTTTTAACACTCCCCTTCAAGCTGGACTATATATATATATCATATAATTCAAACTTGGAATAAAATGTCGTAAGACGTGTACGACTCAATGCTTTGGTAAACATATCTGCGAACTGATCTTCAGATTTCACAAATGAAGTTGTAATCTCCCCAGCTACTATTTTTTCCCGAATAAAATGACAATCAACCTCAATATGTTTAGTTCTCTCGTGAAACAGTAAATTGACAGCAATATGAATAGTTGTCTGGTTGTCATAGAACAACTATGAAAGAGGTTGAACTGGAAACCCAATTTCTTAAAGGAAGTGTAGCAGCCAAGTCAACTCACTCGTCGTATGCGTCATTGCCCTATACTCAGCCTCAGCACTGGATCTTGCTAACACAAATTGTTTCTTACTTTTCCATGAGACAACGTTACCTCCTAAGAAGGTACAATAATCAGTGGTTGATCTCCGATCAGAAGGAGAGTCAGCTCAATCAGCATTTGAGAAACTTTTTACTTTAATATGTCCATTAGCTCGATATATCAGTCCAAGTCTAGGAGCTCATTTGAAATTTTGTAAAATATGAGTAACGGCCTCCCAATGTGGTACTCTATGACACCCCATAAATTGACTTACTATACTGACTGCATAAGAGATATCCGGTCAAGTAATAGTTAGGTAATTGAGTTTTTCAACCAATCTACGATACCGACCCGAATTCTCAAAAAATGCACCATCATTCATCAATAGTTTCTGATTCGCATACATAGGAACATCAATCGGTCTGCCACCCAGCAAACCTGCTTCCTCTAGAATGCCAAGTATATATTTCCTCTATGATAAACAAATACCCAATTTAGATCTAGTCACTTCAATTTCCAAGAAATATCTATGTTTTTCCAAATTCTTAATATGAAATCAATCTTGCAAGAAGATTTTTAACTTGACAATTCCTTCAGAATCATTTTCAATAATCACAATATCATCTACATAAACCACCAATAGGACATATCCAGCATTCGTCTATCTGTGAAACACAGAATGGTCTGTCTGGCATTGAAGCAAACCAAACTCTAAAATTGCATCTGAAAACTTACCAAACCATACCCTCGGTGACTGCTTTAAACCATACAAAGATTTCTTTAACCGACATACACTCTTACCATACTCCCCCTGAATAGTAAATTCAGATGGCTGCTCCATGTATACCTCTTCAATCAAGTCATTATGTAGAAAGACATTCTTGACATCTAACTGAAATAAGGGCCAATTAAGATTAGCAACCAAAAAAATTAACATACGAACAGAGAAAATTTTTGCAACAGGGGAGAAAGTCTCTTCATAATCAACATCATAAGTCTGAGTAAAACCCTTTGTAACAAGTTGGGCTTTGAGACGCTCTACAGAACCATCCGGTGAAATTTAACAGTGTACACCCAACGACAACTGACAATTCGTTTATCAGGGAGTAAAGGAACGAGATCTCAAGTCCCATTATGATGTAAGACATTCATCTCATCCTCCATAGCTTTCCTCCAACCCGGATCAGATAAAACAGTCTGTAAATGCTTAGGGATAAATATAGTAGATAATTGAGAGGTAAAACAAGAGAAGACAAGAGATAAGGCATCACATGAAATAAAATGAGCAATGAGAGGATTAGTAATACACGAACGAGTACCCTTTCGAAGAGCAATAGGTAAAGAGTCAAAATTACCTGATGGGCCAAGATCAGAAGGCGACAAGGAAGACGGTACGGACACCTCAATCGATGGTCGAGGACGACAAGAGTATACACGAAAAGGTAAAGTAGACGGTAACATAACAGACAGCGAAATATCTGAAGATGAGGGAAGAGATGATGGTACAAGAGGTAACCCAAAGTCCAGATCCGAAGGCTAAAAATGTGCTGAAAAATATGGAACATATTCCTCAAATGTAACATCGGCACTAGTAAAGTATCATCGTAGAGAAGGACTCTAGCAACGATACCCCTTATGTGTGCAGGAATAACCAAGAAATACACATTTGGTAAGTCGAGGATCAAGTGTATCAAACCTAGGACCCAAATTGTGAACATAACAGACACATCCAAAAACCTTAAGAGTTAGGAAAAATAAGGGCTTATCAGGAAAAATGACAAAATATGGACTTTGCTCCTTTAACACAGAGGATGATATGCGATTAATTAGGTGACAAGTAGTAAGAACAGCATCACTCCAAAAATAACGGGAAATATTCATCTGAAATAACAAGGCACGGGTGACTTCCAACATATGACGGTTCTTGCGTTCAGCAACACCGTTATGTGGAGATGTGTAAACACATGAAGTCTTATAAATAATGCCAATTTTAGTAAGATAAGTTGAAAAAGGATCAGATTCATATTTTCGAACATTATCAAAACGTGAAATAAGTATATGACAACCATATTGAGTTTTTATTTCCTTACGAAAGGTCTCAAATATAGAGAATAATTCAGACCGAGCTTTCATCAAAAATAACCAAGTCACACGAGAATAGTCATCCAGAAAAAATATAAAATAAGGATATTTATTAGATGAAATATTATTTATTGGACCCCATACATCAGAATGTATCAACTCAAATGGATTAGACACACGATTATTGACTCTAGACTGAAATGGCACATGGTGATGCTTACTAAGTTGACAAGCTTCACAAGACAAAGATGACACACAACTAAGACTGGGAACTTGACGCTTCAGATTTTGGAGAGAGGGATGTCTAAGACGACAATGCCATTGAAAAATAGACAACGAGGTCTGTAGAAGCCAAGTAGGTGAATTAAAATCAAAGTAATATAGGCCACCGGCTTCATGCCCGGTATCAATCTTCCTTTTCATCTTGAGATCTTGAAAGACACAATAAGAGGGATAAAATGTTACAGAACAGTTGAGAGAATGAGTAATCTTATTAATGGAAAGTAAACTAAAAGAAAACTGAGAAACAAATAACACGGATGATAGGGACATATCAGGACACAAGAGAGTAGTTTCCAAACTTGAAACTTTAGAACAAGTACCATTAGCAAGAGTAACACTATGTACAAAAGTAACAGACTAATAAGTAGAAAAAACGTCAGACACACTAGTCCTGTGGTCAAAAGCGCTAGAGTGTATGATCTAGGGACTGCGGGTGGAGGACAATAAACAAGTGGAAGCAGTACCTGACTAGACAAAAGTAGCAGTGGAGGAAGATGAAACAACCTGTTGCTAGGACAGGAACTGGGCATACTCCTCTCGACCAAATGTAATAGTAACCGATCTAGTGTCTGGTAATACTGACCGAGGTATGGAAGCAACAACAGATATATCATCCTGATAAAAAGCCTGATTAGCAGCACTAGAAGATTTACCATGTAAATTCCAACATAAGTCAACAGTGTGTCCTCCACGAATACAGTGAGTACAGGAACGGGATCCACTACGACCCCTATGACCACCCGTACGACCCCCTCGACCACCACGGCCACCTCGATGACCATTATTTTGGCTACTAGGAACCATAAAAGCTGAGCGATCAGTGGAGACACCATGATCGATACCTGAAGGAGTAGATAGTGTAGCACGCTGTAAACGAGAGAAAACCTCAAGCAGTGATGGAAGACTAGAACCATCCAAAATCTGAGAACGACTAGTCTTATATTCAGGTTTCAATCCTACCAAAAATCTAACAACATTCAAGTCCTTATGTTGCTTTTGTCAAACTGCTGCATCAGTAGTAAACGGATAGTAGGTCTTCATCTCCTCACAGACTTCCCGAACATGAGAGTAATAATCCGCAAGGTTTAGAGTACCCTGCTCCAACCGGAAGTACTCCTTGCACACCTCATACGCACGAGTAAAATTACCTGTACCAGAATACATGATGGCCAAGTGATCTCATATCTCTTTTGCAGTGTCAAGGTAGAGCAAAATAGAACTAATACTAGACTCAATGCTATTCAATAGTAAGGAAATGATTTGAACATCCTCTTGTTCCCATTGATCATATCCAGGAGTAGTTTCCTCGGGTTTAGGATTCACCAAATATTTCTTGAATCCTTTGCCACGAAGAAAGACTTGAGCAGACTGGGATCATAAAGTATAATTGGTCCCATTAAGTTTAACGGAGGTCATGAGACTATTGATAACAGTCGGAGGGATAAAGGTGGGTGGTAAAACTGGAGTAAGGGACCCAGTATTCTACTTGGGTTCCATAGCAATGCAGCAAATAGCAAACAAGGAGTTCTATAATGCTAGAACATAGAACTGGACAGAACTGGACCTGCTCAGCCTGCTGAAGGGCTGAACTAGACCACCTAGAAAGCTGAACAAGGCCCCAAAAGCCTGCTGGAAGGCTGAACTGGACAAACTAAGTGCACTGGACCGATGAACTGGAGTGAAAGATGACTGAACCGGTGCAAAACCTAACTGAACCAGGCCACAGGAGGTTACTGGATCGCTGAACTTGAGTCACCACTGATTGAACCGATTTGAATCGGTCTAAGGCTAACTGAACCGGGATTGACCCGGTCCAGGTTACACAATGGATTGGGCTTGATCTGATTGGACCCAATCTGGGTTTGAAATTGGGCTCGACTTGGACTTCTTTAGACTTGGACTGTTTGAATCCCGGTTCGGTTTGACTAACCCGCAACCGACCCGATAGACCTTGTCTTCTTCGCCTGACTAGAGTTTCAAAAGAAACCCTCGATCGTCGTCACTCCACCACAACACCACAACAACCATGCAGAAGCCACTAACGTCAACAATCGACTCGGTAGCCACACCACAGTGTCACACCACCACGATCGACAAACCCAGCAGCCACACCACCACGATCGACTCAAACACCTAAGTTGACAACTCCTCACAACCGAAATCTCCACCACAGACGCAGTACCACCACCACCACAATGTATTACAACCACTGTGTAACACCACCACAATGCCGGAACTCCAACAAAAACACCTCAACAGTAACGTCACCAAGTCAAGGTAATTTCCACAAAACAAACTCAGACTAATATTTGTATTTAGAATCGTATTGCTCTAATACCATATTAAGTGTAAAGGATTAACACAATATAATGAAGAGGAACAGAGAGATGTCAAAAGCTTGACCTAGTTCTCATATATCATTGTATTTATAGTTAACTTACAATAATAATAACAATTACACATACTACCCTAACACTAATAACAATTTACACAGATTACCCTAATACTTTTAACACTCGTTAAAAATTTTAATATTCATTGCCCGATTAAAACATTTAAAGTCAAATAAAAAAATAACTTTTCTGGAAAAATTTTCTTACATGGTATGTGACTAGGGTTCACACATGCCCTCAAAGGATTTTTAATCACGCTCACCTTATTACTCCCATACTCAAATGATTATCAATTTTTGGGCATGTTTTTGAAATTTTCAAATAAGGTTTCGGAAATTTAGACCCCATTTTGTAGTTTCAAATAAATATTTGAGATTATTTTTGTGCCATTAAAAAATTAGAGTCATTATATATTAATTATATATTTAGAGAAAAATATTTTTCATGATATTGATAATAAAATTCCGGCTATCAATCAACTCTTATCCCTAGGTATCAAAGGTCAAGTTCCTTGCTTGTCTTGTCCAAAAACTATATTTATTCTCATTGGAGAAAAACTTTTTCGCGGCAAGGCTTTCAAATCAGGGTCAGGTGCTTTCTTTATCTCACTTGTTGTTAGTCGTCTAGTGCCTTTCGGTTGGGGTCCGCCCGGGTCCGAGGGTTTAGACCGATAGGGGTATATTTCTAGTATTTGTCCGCCATTTTTCTATCATTAGACTTGTAAATCTTTTGCTCTTTGTTCTTTCTTTCTTTCTTTCGGTGTTCTCCCTCTACTTTATTTGATAGTGACGAAGAATATCACTCTATCAATAGTAAGAAAAAGTCACAATTTAATTTCAGTTTGAGCTTGGAATTAACTTGTTATCTTTCGATAGGCGAGAACAAATTATTCAATGATTTTAAAATATAAAAACTTATAAATTGTTGTACTTAATTAATCTAATTTTTTTGGTCCTTTTTGTTGTTTTTTGTTCATATAAATTATGAATACTCACTTTTAACCCTTTTATGTTGAATGAATTGTAAGTGTCAAATATGATATGCATAAATATTGATATTTTTATCTTTCTTTGGTGAATTTGCTAGAACATGATCTATTAAAGTATTCACTTATACTTTGTTTGATACAATAGAAAAATAAAAACATGAAAAGTTAGAGAAAAATATAAAAGATTATGTTTGGCAAGGAAAGAAGATAAATGAATAAGCATTTTTTCAACTCATCAAAATGAATCTCTTCAAAATTGAGAGGAACTGTAGATAAAAAGTTAATTATGTGTGTTAAAATGTATGTTATTTGCCTATTTATCATTTTTTTTAATTATATATATTAATTTCATATATAAATATAATGGTAACATATAATACTTTTTTTATCTTACCAAACACAAAAAAAAAAAAAATCAACCTTTTTTACTCTCCATCTCTCTGACCAAACAAAAAGAAGAGAAGGAATGATGCATTTCTTAAAAGATAGAAAATATATTAATTCTAATTTATATTCTTCTATTTTTTCATCCACCCGAAAAAATAAGTCATTAGAGATAATTTTCTGACTCCAAACCTGTGCAATCGGCTGATATTTTTCTTGAGGTCCCGATGTGAGTCCCGTGACCTTTTCCTCGGTGCTTACTTTCCATGAAACTTCTTCTCCCCTATTTGTACGTTTTATATGTACAGGAAGGACGGAGAAAAAAAAACCTTTGGCTTGGACTTTTCTTCGGGTGATTGGAACTAGGATAAGACGGTGTGTATTATAGACTTCCGAGGTACAAGAACAAACAAATCAACGCCAACTCATTGACGTTTCAGTTTTGTTTTGATTATCAAGAGGTTTCAATCTTGTCTTCTTCGCCTATCAACATCTTTGTGGAAAACGCCAATTGGTACTGTAATTCAATGCATATGTTAGATTAATTGTGAGTTTGAATATTAAATGAAACTAAGTTGTAAGTCAATTGTTATATTGAATTAGGTTCAAATAATGTTTTTTCATAAAATATTGTATGTTTTTAATCAATCAATGTGTGCAGGAGTGGAGTCAAAATTTTGGTCAGAGTAGGTACTTTAATTACGCACTCTAATTTTTTCTTCATAACCAATCACACTATATAATATATTTATATTTATTATATTATATTTGAAACTTGAAGTCTATTTAACATAACAAATGCCCCAAAAAAATGTATGTTGACAGGGGCGAAGTTATTAATGTCTATGAGGGGCAAAATATAATTGGTATAAAAAAATATTTAGCCGAAATAGTTACAAAAAAATTCAGTTCAAGAATAACAAAAAAGTAAGAATCAAAACAAAATTGCTGTGAAATAGTAAATTCAATTTTTATTTAGTCGAAATAAAATCCTAATAAAAAGACACAAAAAAATTTTAGTACATTTTTAACCTAATTATATATTTCAATAAAATATAAAATCTTTAAAATTTTGTATATGAATTAAATGTAAATTAATTTTTCACTATTTTTTTATCAATGAGCACAATTACAAATCCGATAGTAAAGTTATTCTTTATTTAGTTGCAAAATTTGGTTGAAATCATTATCATCTTATAGATAAATTATCTATTCGAAATAGTTTGAAATATTTTTGGGTTACAAACTTTATTCTTTTGTATACAATTGTATTTTATTAGGTTATAAACTACTATTATTTGAAAAATGGTAAATAATAATTAAAAATTATTCTTAAAAAGTAACAAACATTGTGTTAGATAAATAAAAATATTGTATATTCGTCAATATACAAATAGACCATTGACTCAACCCAAAACTAAAATATTTATTTTACAGAGCTAGTGGTCCACTAATTTATTGAAGAAAAAAAAAAGATAGAACCATTAAAATTTTCAAAAATTTAAGGGAGACAAATATAATATATAAAATAATTTTATGAGTCCTCATCTAAAGTGGTCCCAAAGAGGGGGGGGGAGGCAAGTGCCCACCTTGATGCCCATGTGGCTCCGCCCATGGATGATGGATGTGTGTGTCCTACAATTCAGTGTTGTGATAATTTCTCATTGGGCGTGAATACTTCGTGACAATGTTATGTGATACCCTATAAGCATTGAATATTTTCTCCAAAAATTGAGTGCATCCCATAAGTTTATTGACACAAAATTGGTAGTAAGGAACTAAAGTAAGATAATTAAAAGTTGAAGAACTATTTTAAAATAAGAGGCGTAATTTAAGCACTAATTGTGATATTTATCTCAAAAAAAAAAACTATATGGTGTAAACTAAAACTAACCCACTAATATTTCATTTGGTTGTTGACCAATACTTTCAATCATCATTGTAAATTGGGGAAAACTTGGAAAGTATAGTAAATGGATAGATGCAAAAGTAAAGGGTTGGAATGTTTTAAAGTAAAATTTGACATAGTTTTCCGGTTGTTAGATCTACCCAACCCATAACAATCTTAATAATGTGAAATGTGAAGGTATGATGGTTTAACACAGACTTATTGTTTCCTTTGCTGAATGGCTAGGACCACAAGACAAAATTGGGAGTATTTTGTTTGAACATTTTTTATCATGCTTTTAGGAGTGTTAAATGAGTCAAGTTTGGGCAAGTTTTTTAAAGCCCGTTCAAGCTCGACTTGGACTCAAATGCCAAGATTAAAATTTTGTTCAGGATTAGATCATTTTAAAAACGAGTCGTTCGGGGTTGACTTGTCTAAGCTCGTTTTATTATTAATGTGAGCTCGAATTTGAGTTTAGGCTCAAACTCACGCGAGTCATTGATTATGTGTA